AGACACCACAAACAATCAAGCTGTTTCATCTTCCCCCATCTCTCCCTGAGACAATTACCTCCAATTTCACTTCAATAACATTCTCCCTTCTCCGTCAGTAAACAATCAAATCACTCCATTGTTGAGGGTAATTGGATCCTTTTAAATCAAATCAGCTGTTATGGTCATGATGAAGCATGGCCTGCGCTGCAGCGGCTGGTGAGACATAAGGGAATGCAGCGCAGGAATACATTACTGTCTTTGCCCCTCAGGTAAAGATAGCTATATTGGAAGAGCTGTGTAATACAGGTTTATTAGGCTGTGCAGTGATCAGCACAAGTCTTGTCTCTGTCCTTGAGGACGTGTTCCACTTGTAGCTCGCGTTCCAGAAACAAAGACAGCGGATGTAGTAGGAAGGCTGATGTGCACGTTACGCTTTGTGTGATACAGCTTTAATACACGTTAATTTGTCAAATCTCATAAAAAACATTGATGTAAACACTTCCCTAGTTTTTTATCCACCATATATTCTTTCATAAAGTGTCCTGATCTTCTGCTTGCTACAACCGCGACCTTCAATATTTTCCCAAGCCTCAAGACTTTTTCAGTACTCAAGTTTTCCTTAAAAATTTCTAATTAACTTATGAACTCCACTCAGCTTCCTTTACCTTCCATTCCCACCGCATGCACCTGCTACCACCATGTTTCACCTCTGAGTTTGTGTGAAGTCTTGGGTGCAGCATTTCTAAATTAACTTGTCACTTTTGAAGACCTCAGACTAATAGGACTGAACAGTGTACAATCCTGCTGATCTTTCTGGTGTGTTCCCTTGTCTTGATGATAGCATTTGATTGCAAATGTTCTTCATCCCATAGATTCTTAACTATGGAATCTATAATGGGTTCTCAGAGCCCATTGCACAACGTGTTTCAAGTATTTCCCTTTAGATCCACATCTGACTAAAGCTGTGAATCTAAAGGCCTGGACGATTAACCGGCTTAGGGAACACTTGATGGCATGCTGAGGAGGTAATGCAGTTATTTGAATAAGGTGTTCTAGGACAGAGATGGATTTAAGACAAGACGGTGGCCCCTGAGGACCAGGATTAAGAAACCCTGCTCCTGCAAACTTCTGAACCCTTCAGAGAACAGCTGTAATTGCACTGAGTATAAATAAATAACATAGATTATTGGGAGAATTCTGAAGCCAGATGGTGGCCATGCTTTGAAGATTTTCCTTCCTCTTTGCATTCATGTGTCGCTTTGTCAGTCTATCACATATAATCCTGATAGAGTACATTGATTTTTTGGGGGGGGTTATAATGTTACATAATGCGGAAAAAGTTCATAAATACCTTCGCAAGGGACTATCATGTTTTAAGCGTAGCAGCCTTTGAGGAGATTGTGAGGGGAACATCAAATGCTTGAGCTTGGAATTTGCCGAATCTTAAACTAATTTGGGGAAAGTGCATCAACGACTTTTCATTTAGCTTAATCTATTATTCATCAATAAATATCTTACAGTCTCTGAAATTGTTCTGCGTACATGTAGGAAAGTGTCAGATTGTAATGGCTAATAAGATCTTTGCTTTGGTTTCTTTTTTTCTGTTTTTGCCTTTTATGTTTATTTACATACTCTAATTGGATAGCTCCTCTGAGGACTTGTCAGCTAAAAACAGAGGCAGCTAAAACTACAGAGTTGTGTGTATGTAAGGTTTTTGGATCCTTCATGTGACATGTGCTTGGAAATCAAACTTCCTCTAATGTTTTTATGAAAACATTTGGAAATTGTAAAAGAACTTTCCATCTGATTCTGCGAGTACCGAGGCAATTCATCTTCCATTCGTCTAAGCTTATGCCAATGTCAGCACTGGTTAAATCCTGCCCTTTATTCCAAAGCTTCCTATTCATCTTCTGTCCTCTCTCATGGGTGACCAATACTCTGCTGCATCCTCTTTGCTCTCCTTCCTTATTATTCTCTCCTTTCTAATCTTGGGCCCCAAGGAAAAAATGTGATGTTGTGACGACTAAAAGGCATCCACACAGAGGTGGCTGTGTACCCACACACCACCCGCTGAATATGCTGTTGGCAGCTTATCAGCACGTTTTGTTGATAAGCAAAAAAGTATTTATGGCTCTTATAATTTCTCAAGCCTCCACTGCGTATCTGGTGTTGCTGTTATTACCTGCAGTCAGTCGGCTGATAAATTAGTCGCTTCATCAGTAAGTCAGACATCCTCGGAGAAAATGATCTGTCAGTCCGTCAGTAAATTAGCAAGTCACTAAATCATTCAAACCCTTAATCAGTAAATAATTCAGTCCTTCACTCAGGAATTTGTCAGATCTTCAAATAAGTTAAGTAAATTAACCGTTCTTCAGTTGGTAAATCAGCCAGGAAATTATTCACTTGACTCAAGTCACTCACATAATGAGTCATCCTCCAAGGATTCAGCTTAACTTTGTATTCAAAGCCAAAAGACAATGGCTGCTTAACCTCTGCTGAGGCTGCCAACCTCTGATAACACTTGGCCAATTAACTCGCAACTTTTATCCTTACAGATGGACTTTTTCAGAGTGTGTACGTGAGCGTGCATTAGATTCCCGTGCATCAATGCATGTCCATGTTTAAAGCATCAGCATATGCTCCTGTGTTTGACTTCCAAGCTTGAAATGATGCACTCATGCCACAGTGACGTGTGATTTAGCTTTTCAGTGGGGAGAAAGAAGTAGTGTTTCAGACACCCCCAGATGAAAAAAAGAGGAACGTTTTGAAAGAAAACAAAAACATTTCTTGCTTCAATGAACAAATTGTAATGCTGCAAGGATATTTTATTCCTGCTTATTCTTTCTGTAATTCTTTTATGAACTCAAAGTTAGCAGCAGAATATTGGTCAGCAGACACAAAGTGACCATTAAGAAGGCAAGTCGTACTTTTGTTTTGCGCTGTGAAAATGACAGTACTCATTGAAATGACTGTCATTTCAATGAGTAACTTGAAAGGTGTTATTTTACAACCAGTAAAAGAAACACTCAGTGAAAACCAAAGGTGTGGCACCATACAGTGAAAACCAAAAGCCTTTCATTATAAAATAATTTTGGGTTCACTCTTCTCTGTCTCGAAAGAGGATGCAAAAGACTGAGAAGAGAAAGCAATGGATTCCCTACTTTTCCCAATGTTTTAATTTATTTTGATGTAATTTAGAAATGGACTTAATAGTTATTGGGGTTTTATTTTATATATTTTTTTATTTATTTTATTTATATGTATATTTTTTTTCTAAATGATATATCACTTATAACTGTCATTTTACAAAAAAGAAAACTGGGCTGAATCAATTGTGGCTTCCTATTTTCATATGGAAGTTGATATCTACATTGGGTTTCTGTCTGTGGTGAGGCAGTGGTTGTCGGGTTGTCAATAATATAATTGTCAATAGATATACATACTTATTTCACTGCAATTAGTACACTTTTTTGAGCATAAAAAACAAAACTCCTAATCTTGTGACATGCTTAATAACTGGAGCAGTTTACGCAGATATGTGCCAGTTTTCAGAGTGGATTTGTGGGAAGTTGTTGTTTTGGTTATTATTTCACCCTGGAGATTAAACTATTCTCAGTTTAAAAGAAGCAAATGCCAGAAAGAGCACAGAGGGCAGAGATGCCCTTCTGATAACAAATGAATCCAATAAAGTGTTTCGTTGAAGCATGTCTGCGCTATAGATAAAAAGCGGATACTCACAGTAGCTGCTGCCTCAGAGACACCATGGGAGGCCTTCAGGTTTGAACTAAAGATCTTGGCAATCACTTAGCATGTTATTTAATTTTTTAATTAAAATAGATGTTGGATTCTTAAATTTGTAAGTCCAATGAAAAATATAAACTTATTGAGCACTGCACTCGACAATGTGTCTTGCTGCTTGTTATTCCTGCATAAGAGACGAGCATTAACTGCACGGCAGCCCCTGGGCGAACCCACGCTGTTCACAAAAAGGCAGAAGTTACTGCCTGCCATATCTTGTGCTTTTGCAACTCACAGTGCCTTTTTTATTGTTTCTGCATAGCAAAGTCGGGTAAAGCTGTTTATGCACTTAGCACAAATGGATAAAATGTTGAACTTTCCTAGAAAAAAGCAATGGCTTATTTGGAGTGTTTTTGAATGCTGCTGAACTGCCATGAAGTGAGAATAGAAAATGAACATCATTTCTTGGAAAGCACATCCTCTGAGCTGGAGTTCAGCTTGTATCTGCCTCACTTCTCATATCTGATTTGGATTGTAAAATGATGACAAAGTGACATTTAAGCCATCATATAAATATAAGTCCATCAACAAAAAATGCATATTTTATTAGTATATTGTTTAATTTTTACGTTTGGTAGGCCTCAGCTGGCTTCATGTTCTGCATCTATTGGAAATACATATTTGCGGCTGTACGTCAGCTTTTGCTGTTCAACATTCACAGCCAAGTCCAAAATGATTGTTCTTTACCTGAAACTTGACCTGTGGGCTTTGCTCCTGAAAGCACAAGGCGATTCAAGTGTAATTGACAGGTTTTATGATGGTTGAGACATTTCTTCCCCCCAGGCTGCCTCTCATGTTTGATTCATTTCTACATTGCTCCTTAGTCAGCACAATCACATATTTCATAAGTTCAGTTCCCCCACTGTCTTCTGTTCTCCCTGCCGATTTGCTGTGATCTCTCTGGCCCTTCGCCTCAGTCCTCTTTGCCTCCTAATCTCATGGGAAACTCCTCAGCATGACTGAGACAACTTAGGAAATCATTCACTTGCTACCTGACTCTGAATGAGCCATATTAGTTTCATAATGGCAGTGATGGATCCCTTGCACCCTAATTAAACCAGATTTATTTTCTTTTCACAAAAAAAAAACATCTATTTTGAATTGAATGTGTGGCAGTGATTTGCTTATTTGTAAGCCAGGTTGAACAGTATTTAAGGATGCTAGTAGTGGCATGAGGTTAATAATTGTTCTTGCTCTTCGTTTTTCTACACAAACATTAGGGAAATATGCCATGAGAGATTTGATCCATCGGCTACCGGGCAGTAGTAGCAGCAGCAACAATAACACCACCAGCATTGGAACGTCAGGCAATACTGGAACTCCCAGCAAGGCCATGTCAGACGATACGGTAACTGCCATATGCTGCGCACTACATGAAGTGATAACCAAGAATATGGAGAACGCAAAAGCTCTACGTGATTCTGGCGGGATTGAAAAACTCATCGGCATTGCCCGCAGCAAAGGAGACAAGTAAGTAGGACGGGGTCAAGAATTGTTTTGTCTGCAGCGGTGAAATAACTCAAGTTTTTAAATTCACACTTGAAATGTCTCGCAGATCTCTATTGTCATTTCAAATCAGGGAATGCTCCGCTTTTAATGCAGCTTCTACATTAGATGACTTCAAAGAAGGATTTTCTATTCCTGCCTTTTTCTGAGAATAAATCTAATGTTAGCTGTTAAATAAATGATGGGATATTTAATTAACATCATTTGCATCCCAGAAAGCCTTTATTATTTGGGTAAGTTCTGAAGTGAAATGTTTAATCTACATAGAGATAAGATATTAAAGAGTCCATTTTTCTATTTGATCTGGAGACACACTGTATGCAGGGAGGTCTGGGTCCAATTCCTGCAGGCTTTTTGATGTCCAGAAATATTCTGAAGCTGCTGCTGAGTTGTGTAGCAGTAAAAGAAACCTTCTGTTTTGCAGTCTTGGCTGCTCAGATGGCTTTTCTGTGATTGTGTGTGTATGCTGGCAGCAGATATGTTGTTTAGCTTGCAAAGAGGCAGTCTTTGTTGTGTTGTTGGGACCCAATGTTGATAGTGTCTGCCTCTCCCACTTTGCATTAAAAGTAATTATGAATCAGTTAAAATGTCATTATACTTAAGGATATAACTTAAAGGCTCCTGTTGTAACCATTACAACTTCTAGATTACACTAAGTTTTTGTACCTGCTTTTATTTTTTACACTTCAATCTTTTTTTCAGAGACCAGTAAGCAAGGACAGCTGAAATATAATGACAGATTATATTAATTTACAGAATTAAATATTGTTGTCATCTGATTTGTTCAAACAAAATTAAATAAAAGCCTTTTGAAAGTGACTTAGATCTCATTTTGATTAAAATATTTGTATTTGAGCATGAGCAGCTGTTTTTGAAGTACACATAGTTTGTGTGAGGAAAAGAAAACTGATGTGTGGCGATGACCTGACTGATTTACTAATTGGTGGTCTGAACCAAATGAACTTTTAGGTGCTGAACTTTTATTATTATTCGATTAATTTTAATCTGGCTAAATTGAATTTTTAACTACATCCTGCTGAATATGAACTGGTTCAGCACAGTTTTAAAAAACGGATTTATTAAATTATAGGTAGGTCAGTCAACTTAACTGAATGGTAGCTGACTTGGAAAATGTGCTTGTAATAAATCAATGAGAGAACATGTGTGATATTACAGTCAAGAAAAAAAATGAATGGGAAGTAACAATGGGTGATGTTATGTCAAAGCAAAGAAAGACAAATATCAGGGAGAGGTGATAAAGTAAATGGAAGAACAGAGTCTTGACTTCAGTTATCTCACTCACTTGTGGGACAGAGCTTTGCTTCATTTTACCCAGTAGGCGCAAAATGATTTTTATCATAGAAACAGATTACACAAATGCTCTACACCAACTCTGTCAACAAAGTTGTTGTTTATATATTTCACATTTCTTTGACTCTCACATCCTCATTTTCTAGAAACACTAATGAAGAACTGTACATAATGTTCCCATCATAATATGTTCTTTGTCTGATTAAATGTTGCCCGGACAGCAGAAATGATTCTGCCACTAAAATAATCGAAAAGAATAAAATTTCAAAAGCTCCCTAATGGTTGTCCTCTTGGTTAACAATAAATCTAGTGAAAATTTTAAATGTAGCGTGAATCCTTGTAAGAGGAGCTCAGCGTATAAAGTTACTGCATTGCACACTTCATCACGCACCATGTCTCTCTGTGACCAGTGGGGGAACCTGGTCTTTATGCAGCCTTTATATCTCATTCATAAGTGCACCTGTGTTCCCAGTGATCAGTCGTCTAAGAAAAACAAAACCGAACAACGAGGAAGACCAAGCTAAAATAGACCGACCTCCTTACCATGGGAGACCAAGCAGGGCATTATGCCTTGCTGCTATGGCAACTAGCAGGTCAGGGGTTGCCATGACACCGAAGTGTTATCAGACTGAGGTCAAATGTTGATTTATTGTGGAGTGAGCGAGACTAAGTCTATTTAGGGAACTGTGCTCCAGGGTGCCATTACACAAAAAGATGAGGTGCTGACAGAATCCTCCAAAAAATGCTAATTTCACAGTGAGCAGTTGTCTGCTAATAATTCACACATCTTCATTTCTTATAGGCTCACAATTAAGCAGAACTACAGCAGATTTATGCAATCACACACGGCAGAGTTTCAGGAAATGCCACCTACATTTAAATCAAATATGACTGTTGATCAACGTGGGCTGAAAAAGGACTGCAATAATATTGTGAATGATTCAGAGGGTTGGGACAAATAACTACTGAGACAAATCCCTGCCATCTACAAAATAAGCTATAACATAAGCTTTCGTTCCAAAAACACAATTTTGCACATTGCAGGTCATTGCAGCTTTTAAAGATCATTTATCCTCTAGAAATCCCTGAGGAAATAATAACATTAATGTTCCCATTAAATTAAATGACAGTGTTCATTATGATTTGGAAAACTTAACACCGTCAGGAAACATGAATTTACACTGAAAACAATTACTCTGATCTTCCAGTTTTGCTAATAAGTTATGGTCTCTATATTCTTAATGATCTAAATCATTGTGTTTCTTCAGGACACAGAAAATGAGAATTCCTTTCACTTTTTTGATTAGTAATTTTCAATCAAGGTGGCAAGGAGGAAACCATTAGCATGGCAGACTGGGTCATTTTAAGCTCACACAAGAACTCTGCTTCTCCTCCGGAAAAACAAACAAACAAAAAAATCAAACAGCAATAGTCTTCTTGAAGCCATTACAAATTTTTCCGGTCTACACATGTCTTGTGCAGCTGGTAAGATTTGGAGACAAAGTAACTACACAGCGTCACAATAAATGGGGTGCTGTGGAAATAACTCTCTATGTTTTTCTCAATTTCTTTCCAGACACTCAGCAAAAGTGGTAAAAGCAGCCTCTCAAGTCCTCAGCAGTATGTGGCAGTACAGAGACCTGCGCTCCCTCTACAAAAAGGTAACTGTGTGTGGTGAACTGTGTTCTGCTGCATTTGTGGGTTCTGACTCATGCTCTACCACTTTTGTTCTGTTAAAAATCTTTTGTTTCAATTTGAGTTGAGTGTGGAGATTTAAATCTCAAATGACTTATATCTTTTCCTGTCGTTCTGAATACATTTGTCCCAAGAAGAAGAAATATTAAAAAGATAAGTCAGAACCATCCTATACAGATCTTGTTTGGTGGTGATAGCACTTCTGTGTAATTTGACAGAATAATAATTAGACAAATTTGTCATATTTAAAAATATGGCTTTGGAGCCTGGTGGCTTTTTGTTTTCACTAAAGCAGATTGCGAGGCCAATTCTCTAATAGAAACATGTCAATGAAGGTAATGAAATACACATCTCCATCCTGCATTTTGTCGAATGGACTGCTAATTATTTGCTTTTCTAGGCTTTTCTATTCCTTGATGAATTTCTGCTTGTTTTTGTTTTCTTTTCAGGAACAATTTATTTGTAGTTTAATTGTGAAACTGTGTAATTATAAGTTACTGATGAGCTTTGACTTATATATAAAAACTCAGCAACACATCATCAAAGAGTTTTTTATATATTCTGTTTGGGACTTCAGAATTCAGCCATTGCAATAAATAAGAAATGGAGGCATGTCAAGTCAAATACAACTTTATTATTATTATTAGTAGTAGTAGTAGTAGTAGTTGTAGTAGTAGTGGTAGTAGTGGTAGTAGTAGAATTATCAACTTATAACGTAAAAACCACTATGACCAATTGCTGAGTTTGAGCGTGACAGAAAATGTTTTGCATATTTAGTTGAGGAAATAGTTTTGCATTTAAACAAATGTTGTGCTTAATTAATGTTCTGATTGCCCACCATGCTGTCTTAAAGCAAACAGTGATGGGAGACATATGTTTACCTCCAATATGGTTCCTTGAACGAATGCCAAATTAGTTACGATTCCAACAAAATGTGTGCTATGTCTGAAAGCTGTCAGGAAGAGAAGGAGCTTTTGATTTGCAAAGACAATGGCTACTTAGGCTGAAAAGTGATATTCAAGGATAAAGATGAGGTCAAGAAAGTTTTCTCTCATTAAAGTTTCATCATAATTTTAAAGTATACACTTTTAACTATATTTAAGAAAATATAAACAAGTGGTAAAGGAAGGGAACTTAATGATTGTTAGAACCATGTGCCAGAAGACAAAACATACCAAACCTTCCCAAGTAAAATTTGCTAGGCTGAGCATGTTCACCCACTTGCTGACACTAATGGCAGTGGGGTTTTTAAAATGGGTTGTCTTTGGTATCATGTAGACAACTGGGAAAGATGAAGCCACACAGATATTGATGCAAGGTGCAAAAGGATGCAGGTAAACTTCCTGCCTCAGCAGTTTGTACCTGAATGTCCTGCTGCCACATTGTCATTTTGTACCAACCTATTTCCATTTTGTCCCTGTAGACAAACAATGTGTACTTTACATTTGATACTCGTTTGCTTTTCAACAATTTTTAGTGTATTGAGAAATGTAATTTTAAAAAATGGTCAAATTTTGACATATTTATTTCTGAAGTTTGTTGTATTTGGTGAGATTTTATGCTCTACATGTTTTCCAAAGTTTGATGCTTGGATTCCTGTTAGGATTTCTCCATACGACAGATAATGGCCTTAAATCAAACAACAACAAAAAAACTACATCTTCAAAATTTGACCTTTAGATAATATTGATGAACACACAGAACCACATGATGGATACTTTATCGTCAGATGAATACACTCATTCAGACATTACACTTAACCGCATGCAAACGTAAACATCTGTAACATTAGAGATGCTTTCAGGACATGAAAGAAATTCACTGTAAGCACTAGCCATCAAAGTACAAAATATCCCTCAGACAGGAAAGAATCAATACATTGTCAGTATGAAATGTGGAAGACGGCTCCCTTTTGGATCTTAATAAGACCCAAGCAACAAAAATATGTAAGAATTGACAAACAACTTGAAATGAGAAAAAACTGTTTCTTTGGTTCATCTGTCAAAGCTTCTTGAGGGTAAACCATGAACACATTTAAACAAAGGAGTAATAGAGCTGTGCTGGACACCAGCACACTTGAGTCCCAGCATTTACAGAGGTGCATTGATCAATCACTTCATGTTAATCTTTCGAGTCCATTGTGTTGTTTTGCTCTTTTGTATTTCTTTTTTAATTATGCACACATATGCACTTACGGGCTCATTGTTATTTAGCCAATTGCAGACTGAATGGCTCAAAAACTGTAAGCCAATGAATGCAGTTTTGAATAGTAGTACATAAAGAATGGCTCAGACTGTCAAAATGCAAGATAGGCATTTCTGAACATGCATTTCTTTAAATCTGGTGCATAATTTAAAAAGTTGTATGCTCTTTTTTTTTTTTTAGGAGAACCACATTGTTGGAGTCCACATTGTTGGAGTCCAAAGTGTCTCAAGAGACACTTTTGTTTCTCTTGAGACCACAAGATACGTTTATCTGCCTTTCAGTTTCACTTAAATTTCAAAGCTGTAATCACAGAATTTTGAAGTATTGTACTATTTGACATATTAAGTGAGAAATGCATGTTCTTTGTACCTGCATATTTGAGGTGCATGTTTGCACTCTCAGTTATTCATTGTTTAATTTCCAGGCATTTTGTTCTGGGATTGCTTGGCTAAATATAAAAACACTTTTTTTTCAAAGTTTTATAATGCTGTTGCCTCTTCACTTGTTTTTTGAAGTATTTCCTCTGCTACATTGTGACATAGAGAACCAGATGAGTTCAAACCAAATCAGCAGCAGCTTAAAGGTGCATTCATACCAGTCATATTGGTCGGCTTTAATCAAACTCTAATCTGTTTGCCTTGAAAGTCCGCTTGGTTTGAGCATTTGTGAATGTGCAATCAAACTCTGATGCGTAGGAAAAATAACCCAAAAAACTCAAGGTTTTTGTTCCATTGTTGTCTACATTTTGTGAAGAAGGAAGTTGCACTCAGAATCATTTTCAGAGATTTTTCTGTCATTTCCTTCAGTGATTCTTGATGCAGCGCCACCACAGACGAGGAAGTAAACAAAGGATTTGGTTTGTTTGACACAGTACAGTGTGATAGGGAACGGCACCAGGTGAAAATGTAAGAAATGCTGTAATTTTGGTTTCCAGTCGCACAGAGTCTACCAGAGTAGGAGGTGTGAAAACACCCTAAAAGTTGCACATATTTCTGGCCCATTTCTTTCTTTCTTCCTTCCTTTCTTCCTTTATTTTTTCATTTAACAATGAAGCAGAGGCTCATGAAATGTGTCTAAGAGTCAAAAATACCTGAATTTTGAAACCAGTGTGCTTCCCCACACCAGAACTTTGGTTAAAAAAAAAGCAAAACACTGAATTGTCAAACTTATGCTGCGCAAAGTATGTATGCGTGTGTGTGTGTAGGTGTGTTTGTGTGTAGCTGTGTGTGCGTGACTTTGACTTGTGTGTATTCAAAGTGATGTAATATGCATTTCAAGATTTTTAGACAAAATACCTGAGAATGTACTTTATGCAGTCCAATTTTGTAACTGTGGAAATTGTTGTGTTAGAGGACTCGACTTTATCACGACAGTCCAGAGCTCAAAATAAGTGACTTCACTGCTAGTATCCTTGCATGGCATATTAGGTCATGGGTTTTAGCTGTTAGAAAAATCCTATTAGTTTTCAATCCAAACATGGATTAACATGGAGTTTAGACAGGAGTGAAGTGGAATGTCACTGGAAAGTGTTTGGAAGCAAAACCAAAGGAGCAAAAAGGTGCAGGTTGTGACATTGTGAAGTGGGTTTCATGATTTATATATATTTTTGTATATAATTCAAAGACGAGCTTGCTAGAGATAACATAGTTGTGGTTGTTTTGATAAGGAAAAATCTTTTAATCTATCATGATTCAGTCAGTTTGAGACATGTCTCTAAAAGCTGTGTGCTTTGAGGTCTTGATTTAATGAAAAAGTTTTGAAAAACACTGTCAAGCAGCATGGAAGTAGATGTTTGTTTCTATGCGAGTGTCTCTTTGAAAATCTGGGCTTTAAAGAAAATAAAAAATTGCAGTAAGAAGAGTTAATCACATCCTGCAGCGGTTGCTGGCTGAAAGAGAGGGTGAAAGAAAAGAGAATCACCTCGTACTGGATGGCAGGCTTGCATAACAGCGTTTGAACTTGAAGCAGAAGTTGAAAACCTATGAATAAACACCAACTCTGTATGAAAATACCATCTGAGATCACTTAAAAGACCTCTGATGCAAGAGTCATTAATAAACCAAAGCCTAAATGTGTTTGTATCAACACAAACACTGACTTTAGGATAAATCATGTATAATAGTCTCCAGAGTGCAGTAAAGAACTACTTTTACCAGAGTTAATTTGGGCTCTTTGACAGAATGTGTCCTCACTTAGAATGCGTATGTGTGTATGCGTGTGTGCATCTGCGTGTGTGTGTGTGTTGGGTGTAGCTGTGCATGTCGCATCTCATCTCCAGCTTCTAGGAGGGTAGCTCTGGGTCATCTTTTAAGTAAACAACAAATGTGCAGTCCTGTTCAATCGAGGATTTCCACTGAAAACAGGGAACCGAAGCATGGTCACTTTGTAAATAAACCTACCGTGCTAATAGGACCAGAAGGAACAAATTCTCTGAATCATCCCAAACAAACATATGCACCCTTCCTTCCTCTCATAACACTGAATTTCATATTCACAGAGTTGCACTTTGTCATGTGCCTGTTACGCAAATTTTCTCTGTTGGCTTGGTGAGCCTCATTTCTTGATAAATGATCTGTCTTGGATGCTTAATCAGACACATTCGCTCTCACACACACAGAAATGCCCATATATCATGCATACATCACAAACTCACACAACTCAAACCTACACATGTGACAGATGGAGTTCAGGGTCAGGAAGGATGCTGTGTTTGTCATACATGCGACGGATTTACAATACATTTCAGGGATTCATAATTTATTATGTGCTTGTGCCATTTGAGTTGAGTGAGAAATTTGTGTTTGATGTCTGTGTGTGAGGTCACTGATTGCGGTCCAGAATGGTCAAGATGTTCCTGTAAATTGAACAAATGCATCTGTAAGGAATAGCGTTAAATATGTTAGTTACACATAATAAAAATCCTTGTTGAATACAGAGCTGTTCAAATATGGTCATGCTGTTGTCACCACACAAGCACAGAGTTACTTAATTTTGTGCAGCTTTTATTAGAGATGCACCAATCAAATTTAGCTGCTTGCCTCCAATTTCCTTTTCAGTTTTCTAGACTGTAATCGGACATACTTTGAAGAAACAGTGAAAAAAAAGACTTTTAAAACCCCAAGAGCTAATAAAGCAACCATAGAGCCCATAAGTGACTTTTTTCTGGTTTCTCTCTGATGTCCAATCTCTCTGTGTTTGGTGAACAGAGACAGAAGACTGCTAAGTTAATCCCCTGTTAGTCTTGAGACTACAAGTCTGCTTAGAAAGTCAGAAAGGCAATATTAGGGTCCACATCTGTGGTAAGGATGTCGGCAAAAAAAAAGTACAACTGTGGTATCTAGGTCAATCTCCTAAAGAGCAAAAAACAGGCAACAACACAGAAAGATGTAAAGGTCAAAGGAACATAAATCCTGCGAGAGCAGGCAGAACATGTGTGAGTAAATCACTCACCGCTGTAAATCTCACAATCTTAGTATGAAATGAGTAGGAGGGCATGCATGAATTGGAGGAATGAACAATAAAAAAAAATATCTTCAATGGTCGGTGAGATCCAGAGGGACTCCACCTCTTACTGTGCGTAAGCTTTTTTAAAATTTGTGCCATAATGGCTTTCTGGCATAAGTGGTGCTAGACCCAGCACCCCCGTACGCCCCACAACATACACCCACACTCAACTCATTTGTTAAGGCACTAATCTCTTTTTACCTCACAGTCCTGTGACCTTCAGCTGACTATCCAGTGACGGTGAGAGCAACAGGCAGACTAGTTGCCTAGAAACCCACTGTCTTTGTGTTTTCCAGTTCTTACAGTGGGAGCTGAAAGAAGGTGGGTGGGAGGAGAAGGAAAGAAAAATTGATGAAAAGTGTAAAATAGGTGAGAATTAGTGAGACCTACACTCCGAGAATTAACTGGCTACTTTTGCTAATCATTACGGGAACTGTATGTGGGTTTCGTTGTTGTTTCCATCTCTCTTTATTTCATTTAATTTTTTAAAACTGATAGATTTGCATCTTAGGGATGAGTTTTACCTGGCTTGTGTCTACTTCTTTCACCCATCACCAGGGCCTTGTTTTGGAAAACAAAAGATAAATTTTTTGTCTGCACTGCTGCTTTTCTGGTTGACATTCTGTTTATCCATAAGTATTGATATTTTCTATCAATCATTCAGAGTGAATCTACAATGACTTGCTAACTGTGGGTGGAAAAAGAAAATGTTAAATTATCTCTGTCATTATCTGCTGAATAAAAACTAAATTTATTGGAGATTTTTATGTTTTGCCATCTATTTGCCTTACGTGGGACATAAACATCCTAAAATAAAATGAGGCACAATTATTATACAGTTTAGGTATCGCTTGTTTTGCTCTAAGAGGACCGACCTCAAGGAACCCTGTGGCTCATTCCTTGGCCCCATTTGTGAGCTGCATCTGTCATCTGCACACAACATACATCACTCGGCAAAATACATTTATCATTCAATATTCAGTGACCGTGTTCACTTGAGTGGCCCGACATCCTGACAGTATCCAGTCACACAGCAGTCCAGAGTGCCGCAAGAAGGTTATGTTGTGTTTAATGAGATTTGTTGTTGGGGCGAAGGAGAACCAAAATGTGAAATGAGGCGAGTGAGAAGACTAAAGGACTGCTGAAAGAAGGAGAGGTAAAGAAAAAAAGAGTGGTAGGAACTACATTTGAACTACTATGTGTCGAAAAATCCAGTTTTCTATTAGTTGTTAGAGCTCTGTCAGAAAATAGGGCTGCATAAACTTCCACCCACTTTTCACTCTCATCTCTGTACTTCTATGCATATTGTTACACTTTTTTCTCATCACCTCTTTCCTTCCTTACTCCAACACTTCCACTTACCCCAAAACCTACCTCTCTCTCTCTCTCTCTCTCTCTGTCTCTCTCTCTCTCTCTCTGTCTCTCTCTCTCTTTCTCTCTTTACTTTGTGCCATATTTTCTATCTTCCTCAGCCGTTACCCTGTTTGTCCTACATTCTTCACTGTCTGTCTCATCTTCTCCACCTCTGAGTTGTCTTCTTCTCCTTCCATTCATGTCCTTTCACAAAGCTGCATTGTACTGAAGTGATTCATCTCTCCAATCACCACTTTCCCACATCTGAGAGATGTACAAGTTAAAGCTGATGAAGGGGCGTGTCCACATAATCTTCAATTATCTGCTTGTTTTAAAGTAGCCAATTATCTTAATACTAAATTAAATTTGGTTCCAGCTCTGTGATTGTTGTTGACTCTTATAATCTATTTTCATGAGAATTGTTCTGCTCCGATCACTGTTAAACTAATACAAAGTCACCGGCTTAGCTGCAGCAATGCTTGAGCGAGGATTATTTGTTCTATTTTTTTCGCTGCTGTGTTTTGATGCTTTCTGACCTAAGAGTTTATAGAGGTGTTTGAATGTGTACACGTTTATGGGAACTTGCGACATGCTTGTATCATGTCATAATAAATCATTTTAAATGTGATATTTCAGTTTCATTATAAATCGCTCTGAGTCATCCCTTCTGAATCATTGTTGAAGCCAATGTGGAAGTGCCACCACCTGCTGCCGACTAATCAAATGTTCTGCTTGAAATGCCCCATGGTAGTTTGAACTCTTTTCTTTTGATGGGAGGTAAAAATCAACTCGATTTCAATTTGTTAAATTTTAATAATTCCTTTGCATATTTGTACCAAAAACATAAAAAAAATATACATACCCATAACAATATGTAACATTCTCAGTAATGTTGGTTGGCGCAAATAAACTCTCATCTGTTATTTGTTCTCTGTTGTGTGTTTGTCTTCTAGGATGGCTACTCCCAGCATCATTTTGTGGGTTCTGCCTCAACAATAGAGAGGGACAGACAGAGGCCCTACTCTTCTTCACGAACTCCCTCCGTTTCTCCCGTCAGGACATCCCCAAATAACCGCTCCGGTGAGGAAAACGTCTCTCCTACATGCATACGTACAGCATCACAATCCAGCTTGTTTCACTTAAGAGTTTGTTTTGGTCCACAATTATCATAAAAATTAAAGAACTTAGTCGCTGAATGAAATTGCAGTTGTATTGTTGCTTTTTTTATGTTTCTGGGAGATCTTACTCCATTCTATAAGATGACTCTCTTACAAGCTTCAGTCAGCATCTTCACAAGGTTTCTGGCTTCTTCATGTCATTTGAAAAAAAAAAAAAAAAATCGGTTCTTCATAATTTAACTCAAATCTAAATCTCATACAGTGCTGACATCATTGTCTGGGCTTTTCCAAATTGTTCCAATACATAGAACATTTATATTATCAAAACTTCTGAAGAACATTATAGGATGGAATAGAGTACAATGAAAACTATATTTCAAGTTTCACAATGGGATAACTTATGTGCAATCAGAGCAGTGAACTTACACAAAGGTAGGAAAACCCGCAATACAAAAGCAGAACTAAAAAAACAGCATAATGTACATTAGGGACAAAATTTCAACATAAAAACTAAAAATAGTATACTCCACTCCAAAAGAATGATCGACTGAGTAGGCTAACCTAAAAATGTACAAAATATAATGCATATTTGTACATTAAAAATAAAAAATTAATAATATTTCATTATTTTGGCATTTAGAAAATAGTAATAATTGTATACATTCTAAACTAGAGCAGCTTAAACTTTCAATCAACGGAGCTAAGAAGGTGAAACATGTTTTTGTATTGTGCGTGGAAATATTATATTCAAACTGTGTCTGTGTCACATCTTAATCCATTTATATTTGTGATTTTTTTTTCACAATAAAATTGAAAAAAAAATGCAAATATGTAAAACCTGACATGCAGACACATCGATTAGCCAGTAGCATCAACATTCACCAGTCCATCAGTTTCATACTAAGTCTAAGTAGCTCCTGGCATCAGTGCTTGCCATCTTTTGGCTGTCATGCTATGAACTATGATTATCATTAGCCTTTAGCCTGAGCCCACTGGCCTTCATGCTTTGCACGAGTGCATTAGCATTAGCTGTTAGCATTGGTAGTAGAAGAGCCTTTAGGTGTTCTTTCTCCACACCGGGCTTAGCAAGCTGATGAGGCAGAAAAGTACTTTTCCTGCCTCTCGGCATAGAGAGGTCTTCAAGGACCCTGCTGAGAGAGAGAGAGAGAAAAGAAATGAGGGACAGAATAAGTGTGTGTGTGTGTGTGTGTTGTGTGCAAGCATTAGAAAACAGAGACGGAGGAAGGGATGCAATAAACAGAGAGGGAGATAAAAAGAAGAAGAAAAAAAACAACATAGAGACGAGAAGGATTGAGGGATGGTGCAGGGAGGAAGGAGGCTGTGAAGGCTCTGGTTTTGACTTTGGCAAGTGACATTGGGAGTCGTTTTGTGCTTATGATACCATGGAGTTGAGGGGGTAAAACGCTAAATCACTGGATGTGACTCTTCATCCTCCTTCCTCTGCTTTGTACACACCCTGTCTCCCACTCCCCTCTCATGCTTTTCACTTGCTGTCTCACTTTCTCTTCTTGTCCTTTTCCACCTGCACCTGTTCGCAGCAATCCTCACCCCTTCCTTCTAATCTCTTACTCCTTTTCGACCACACACTCGCCAAGGCATGCACACACACCCACACACATTAGTATCTCTTCACTGCATATGCTCCAGACTGCAATCCGAGTCCTCAGAGATGGATCAAAGCAAAGGAGTGTAATGAAGGCATGCAAGCGCATTGGGAAAGGAGGAATGAAAGACTTGAAGTGAGAAGAGAATGATAAAACCGTGAAAGAGGAGCTGAGTTAAGTGGCTGAAAGAGAGAGAGGGCAGCGAGGAATACAGAGGGAGAGACCTATGCCTCCCTCATGGCCACCACAGGGTACCAGGATGTTTTACCCTCATACAGTCTGACTGAAGGCCGTGACAACCAGACACTACTGACCAAACTTCCTTGATTACTGTAACCAGTGACAACCTTTTCCTTGTGGGAAACTGGCAGGTTCAATATTTCAACTTTTGAAATCCGACAGTGTGTAATGATTGAATTAGTGTAAATGCCAAATGTCTTACAACATACAAAGCTTTGTGCCTACACAAAGTTATGTGCTTGTCTTACACATACAAGTTTTAATATATGCATGCATTTTTTTTTCAATATCTAAAACAAGAATACTGAAAGATACATCAAGTAATATGCACCTTTAAAAATGAACTCTGGACACGTGATTCCAAACAAATTCACCAACTCTAGTGATGGTTATCTGCTTCAATGATAGTCAAATCCAGGCATGTTCATCTGATTAAACATAGCTTCTGAAAATAACCACAAAAACTTAAAAGATGTCACACAAAGATGTTAAACACACTTTTAAGTAAGCCGACGTTCCTTTATTTTTAAAAAAGCGTTTCTATTAGTCTGATGTAATATTAATTTTAAATCATTGTAGCTAACAGAAAAAAGACTTCAGTCTTTGTAATTAATGTGTTTAAGTGAATTTTTCAACATTATTAACATTTTTTGATATGTTTGAAACATGGTGGGAGTACCTATTTACAGATAGAAATATTTTCTACACCTCTAATCTAATATTTCAAATACCAACATTGTAGGGATGATGGCTAAAAAAAAGGAGAAAAGAAATATATGGATTTACTTGTACGGTTATATTGTGTGAAGAAATAACTCAGCATAAATTACTCTTTTTATTGATGTTAGATTGAAATTCAGTCAAAATTTCAGTTTAAATTTTACTGAAAATTTAGACATTCAATAAAATTTTAATTTTCATTTCAATATAACATTTAAATGTTAAATGTCATTTAACATTTAATGACTTTAAAAGCCAGAGGTTACCAGCATTCACCAGGTTAACAGTTTTTATAAACGTTTAATGTGGACCATACGGGCGTTTACCCTGCATGACATTAGAAAGGAGCTGCACAGTCACCATATAAAGAAAATATTAGTTATCTGCAGGCAATGGGATGTTGGTGCCATAATCATGCTGCTGAAAATAGGATTATGATGCCGTTTTTGTCCTCAATCAAATAATACCTACACTATTGGAACTGACTAACAGATAATATATTAAAAAGAACACATTAATTGATGCCTTCAAGTTAAGACTCTGAAAATATCAATAACTGGATTCCTTTTGTGTTTTATTGCTGTAAGTGTGTTTTATCTGTGGCAGAGTTTGGTCCCTGTTTGTGGCCTGTCAAGATAATGTTGAAGGCCTCTTTATGTGATAATTTGGTACTGCATAATTCAGGTCTTGACCCAGCTGTTGGCAAGCCTGTTTCCGTGATCAATATCTTGACAGTTTCAGATTTGTATAATTTACAAGAGCTTTACACGCACAAAGAACACAAGGAAATGTAATATATTGTGTGTACTGAGGTATTGCACACCAGATGCAAAAATTTGATATTCCAATAACATGCCCATAAGTGTGCGCTTGAATTCCCAGACGTTCCTTAACGCGCTGGAGGTGACCCTTTCTGCTGACAAGCTAAATGATGAATAATGAGTGTGCACCTTGAAAGACCAAGACAAGAAACACACACACACACACAGACACACACACACACCCGTGCAAACACAAGCAGGCGAAATGTGAAGGCTTCTGCTGTTCTGGGTTTATTGCTCTCATTAATGTCTGCATCCGTTTGTGTGTGTGTGCGCGCGCACGCGTGCAGCAAGCGCTCCTGCCTCCCCCAGAGAGATGACGAGTTTGAAGGAACGCAAGATCGACTATGATTCCACGGCAACCAACGCTGGTTTCCATAGCAACAAAGGAGAGCATACATCCCGGAAAGACGGCATGGCAGGTGTGTGTGTGCACGTAGAAAGAGAGAGAGAGAGAGACAGAGAGAGAGAGAGAGACAAAGTAGAATTAAATTATTTTATTTTAATCGCCTGATTCATCTTTTTAATCCATTTCCCCTTTCACCAATCACTTATATTTCCTTTTTAACCTCCCTTTTTTTACGTTTATATATATATTTTTATCTTGAACACACTTTGCTTCGTCCCGACACCTATAAATTAGTTCTTCCCTTGCCTTCCAACCAGCTGCTACTATCACTAATACTCTCCTCTTCTCCATTTACTTTTTTCTCTTCTGTGATTACCATTCTCTGTAAGCCTCTTACGTTTCACCTTTAATTTATTCTTCCGATATCTCTGTTATTTTGTAGGTTTTTTTTTTTATTTTTTATATGATGCCAGACTTTCAAATAAGCTACCTGAAGAAGTTTTGCCTTACTTATTTGCAATTAGATTATGCAACAACAGTTTTTTTGCCTACACTCCGTGTGTGTGTTTTGTTTTTTTGTTTTCATCCATAAAGTTCAAGTCTCCTGTGGGTCATCTACGTTGTTCCGAAACTCTTACCTGACTGCCAGCGATGAAATCAAGCAAAACCAGGTGAGTTTATAGACATAAGTGCACAGTTTTATTTACATCCACAGTTTTTCAGTCTCTTAGAAATGCACATATTTCATCACAGCTCTCCTAAACTGGCAAACGCTGTCATAATAAAGTGCTTCTTAGGAAAGATTACAGCAAAAAGAAGGAGGCACAGCAGATCAAAATAACAAGGTGTCTCGCTGTGATAAGATGCCCTGGCAGAGTTTGCAACGGATGTTCACCCTCAGCTCAGGCATTCTTAAACCACCGCAACCAGGAACAATAAGCTGACTGGCAATTAACGCTGTTATCCCGTTTGATTGAACTAATTATTTGCCTCTGTTTAATGTCTCTGCCGGTGAGGAGGGAGGGATAACAGAAAACATTGTGGTCTTTGAATTGGGAGAATTAAAAGTAAAGAAAAATAAATAAATAAAATTGGGTGGATCTCTTAAAATTCTAATTAAAGTTTGAGTTTGTTCAACTTTTACTGCTACTGGTTGAAATGAGGAGAATAAGTGTAATGAGCTTTTGAAGCGATGGGTTTTTTTTTACGCAACGCTGATGCAGACAAACATAGCTTGTCAGAGCTGGTGGATGTAAATTGTTCTACCACTGCCTGCCTGTAATGGAGAATTCACAGCATGAGTTCTTGTCCCTCTTCTGCCTGCTTTTTAAACCCTCTTTCCTTTGTTTTTTTTTTTCCTTTCCATCCAACCCCTGCTTTCCATTTTGCTTTACTTCTCTCCTATTTTTCACTTTGCTCCCAACCACTCAAACTCCTGCAACTCTGTACACGCCCTCTGCACCTACCCCACTTGCCACATCCAAATCGCTCTGCCCCACCAGAGTCCAGCCCCGCCCTGTGTTGTGCCCCCTCTGCCCCAGCAGGACAGCCCGTCAGCAACCATGCTAAAAGACTACGACCTCTACCCCCCTCCTCCCTCATTCCCCCAGCCACAGCCACCACAGCCTCCATCTCACAGCCAGAGTCGGAGCTTCGACGAGGCCTACTACGACGATCCAGGACCGCCGCCTGCGCCGTCGCAGCCGCAGCTGCAGGCGCAGGCCCAGCCTCAGGCCCAACCCCAGCCGCCTCCAAACGCCACCGGACCACCGCGAGACCCCCGGGAGGACCTTCGAATGCACCTGGGCCTCAAGTCGACTGGAAACTACGTAGACTTCTACTCAGCCTCACGGCCGTACAGCGAACTGAACTACGAGACAAGCCACTACCCGGCTTCGCCTGATTCCTGGGTGTAGTTTGACCATGACAATGGGAGGGAGGGAGCAGGAGAGGGTCTGTGTGAGCTTGTGTGACAGGCATTATTTTTTGCAGGAGATTATTAGCAGACTAAAACAAGGTTAATCTAAGTGGCAGTTTTGAAAAAAAAAAAAAAAAGACCTTAAAATATGATAGGAAATTTGTGTTTTAAAAAATAGCTGTGAATGACTTTGATGGAGCAAGAAGGGAAATCAAGCAGAGTGACAAAGAGAAACTGTGCATGTGCATGCCAACATTTGTTTTATTTATTTATTTTTTTTCTAGACCACCTTACCTTTTTTAAAGTTAGCTCCATTTCATCCCAAATTGGAGGAAGTGGGAGTTGATATGAGGAAGTACAGCATGTATAAGAAGTGGGGAAAAACATGAGCGTGTATGTAAAAGCCTTGAGTGGAGGCATCAAGAAATAATAGGGTGCTGATGAGGAAAGGCTCTCACTCTGTGAAGCAGGAAGTGGTCTCACCTTGTGTTACCATCAGAGATAAAGCGAGATGAGAGACTGAGATGGCATGAGCGTTTTCAAGGAGGTGAGGAAAAATAAAAGCACAGAGAAAGATGAAAGCACACCAGCCTCAAGGGAAAAAGTGGATGTTTACCATTTCACCAAAGTGACAAACGTAGCACTGCTTTTATTCAATACTTTTTTTTTGTTTTTATTGCCAAGACCTTGCTGCTTGTAGAGTCTTTGGAATTTGTTTTCAAAGAATGTCATTTTGAAAAGACTGTAGATCTTTTTTTTTTATTATTATTATTTTACATTTGTTGTTTTTCTTTCTACTTTTTTATATTTACACATTCTTATTTCCTGCATACGCCTAAAAATGGGATTTAATGTGTATATTACACGTTTTGGATGGACTGCTCATACAAATCCAGATTTTTATTTTCCGAATGACTTTCCGAGTGAACTCAAAAAAAGCGAAACACGAACACGGCAATCAGGAAAGACAGGCTAGCTGTGAGTGAACAAATGATTTTTATTTTATTTTATTTTATTTTATTCCCTCATTTTATCCTGGGCCTGAGAGAATTCCCTGCTATGTTTGTGATACGTTCACTGCTATGTTTGTGATACGTTCACTCCATCAATTGCAATTTCTCAAGTGGACATAATCAAACATCAAGAGCATCTTAAAGGCTGCAAGAGCATGGAACAGGCAGAGCAGCAGCACTCGGAAGTCCCAATCAAGAAAAGTGCTTCTTTTGTTCACTGCCAAAAGAGTATATAGATGTATGTTAAAAGCACACTGTTATGTCTTTGGAAAGGACTGCTGTTCGACTTTGGGTGGGGGAGTATACTTTCAACAATGTTAAAATTCAGTAATTCCTTTTGCATTGAAACTCGTCCGTTTGGCCAAATCCACCTGTCCATGCCAGTGAAAAGTAGAAGTAAAGAAAAGGAGACACATCACATTGTGCCAAACTTTGACAGATCAAGATCCGAGAAGACTTCATGGGATGTTTTGTCAAGGTTTACAGACATTAACTCGATGGCTGTCTCTTTTGTTTGTAACTTTGATTTTCTTGTGCTTTAATCAGGTGAAGCCGTACTTATTGCTGGGGGACTGTGGGCATCTTCTCCCTCCCGTAGTTGTACAGATCTGCCTCTCCGTTCCGGCCGAGCATGTGTGGGCGTGCGTTTGGGACACGTGTGTGTTTATGTGTACGTGCATGTGTGTGACAAGAATGCGTGGCCCCCGTGAGTGTGCTCATGTAAACATGAGCGAGTGTATCTATGCATGCATGTGTGTAGTAGTGTGTATGCCTCGGTTTGGGGGGTTGTATGTGTGTGTGCGTTCCTGTGAAAAAAGATCAATGTCCAAACAAGGCATTCCTACTGACAGTTTGTCCAGTTTTACAGCATAAAAATAAAGGTAAAAAAAAATTGAAAAAAATCACTAGGGTGATTGTTGAGACAGAAGACAAATCTATAAATACATGAACATAAATATAAATATATAATTATATAGATATATAATTTTTATGTGCTGATGTCAATGTCACTAATTGCAACAAATGTTCGCCGAGAAAAAAAAAAGAAAAAAAAGTTGTGTAAAACAGGACTCTTGTTCACTTGATCCAAACCGTAAAAATGCTGATAAGCCCCCCCCCACACACGCAACCAAACCCTCCACTGTACACACACACACCCATGCACATGCACTCCTACAGTCTAATCGAGACAAAACAGAAGTTCCACCTGAAGATGCTCTGGCTCGAGTTGTGTGTTATCGTGTGTCCATGCTTCTTAGATGATCCTGCTGAGTGAGGACCGTACTTGAAACAGAAGGGAAAAAAAATAAATAAAAGACTCTTTTCAAAAACTATAGTCTCTGCATCTCTCAATCTCTACAACAAATTTCCCTTTTCACTGAGTTGTCTACTTTTTTTCCCCCACATTATTCACGGCAGGAATCGTTTTCCCACACACTTGTTTTTCTCAGAACTCACGAGTCACTGAACAGGATGGATGGTGTTGACTGATCTAAAAAGCTTTGATGTGCTTTATAACCCACACCTTTTGCGTCTTTCTTGGGATTCAAGTGTGTTAAAAGATCTAACAGACGTAAGAAAAAAAAATTAATATTGAAACTTTTTCCCACACTAGCTTCATTTATATGCAATCCTTTTTTAAAAGAAAAAAAAATTGTCAGTTTATCTAAATGCTGAGAAGTTATTTACTGTGCCAAAGAGCAAAACTGTTTAAAGAGATAGATCTGTGATAAAATGATCAGGCTCTCCTGGGAAAATGTTAAAACTCTGAATGCTGGAATAAAAATCAGATGAATTCCTTGTTTTTTTCAACATAGTTTGAGTCACTTTATGGACTTATGCTGCTCTTTTTCCCAAAGACCTCGGAAAGTGATTTTGATCCTAGCATAGTGTTGACGCTCACTTCAAGTCAGAAGAATACCAAACTAAATTTCTGATGTTTAAATATCTTCATATCCAATCTTGTTTGAAAACACCCATGTGTTCATTGAGTATCCTTTTCACCTTTTTAAATGATTTGCAGTTGTGTACATCTTTCTTTCAAGTGTTTTATTGACAGTTCAGAGGGGACATGGAGTGCCCCGTTGCCATTAGGTTATAGCAGATTTTGTGAATATCTAAACAGCGACATTATATATAGTGTTGATTCTGCATTGCATACATTTACAAATCTTATTTTTGTTTTTTTTCTCATGAAATTTATATCAATCCAAGTTTCAGAAATGTCAGGACTGATAAAGGATCAGAACTTACTGTTTGGATGCTACATAAAGAATTAGATATGCACTAGCATTTTTAAAAATCACATTTTAGCTTCAGGAGAATGAATGAACTTTAAATTGCGCAGCATGGAGTCCAACATTATAGCTGTTACACAAGCAAGCAATTTGTTAGCATTGTCTGTAAAACAGCAGTGTTGACCAATTAATATATTTTTTTCTTACAAAAAACATCCGAGGGACTTAAATGACATGTTAGAAGGCTTTGTATAATAGGCATGTTAAAGCTCCTGCTCATAACGATACCTTTCAGATACCCTATAGTTAATGTTCTAACACAGCGCAGACATGATAGGCATGACACGCAATTTTATGTTTTCTTTGAAGCAACTCCGAGTGACAGCAGTGGGATGCAGTTAGAGCAGTCTCCACAACAGATGCATGTAGATACAAAGGCTTTTACACACACCAGTCATTTTCACAGTACTGTCTGTAATAGGTTTAAAGATCCAGTAATGGAAATTCCCATTTTCCCAGTCATGTTAATTTTTTTTCTTCTTTTTTTTTGCTTTGGCCATATAGGTCGGATTCCATTTATCTTGATATCCATTTGGACTGAGTTAAATTTGAGCAAATAAAATGAATGGATTTGTAGTGAAGACAGTCACATTTGTTACAATCCATTGGTATTCATGTCTGCCCCTCCTCCTCCTTTTCTCGCCTTTCTTTCTTTGAGGCTGTCTGGCTTGGCCTGTGAATTGCGGTGTTGGGTAATAAGTCCATTGCGTTGATTATTAGCCTTTACAATAGAGGCACGGCTTCTCTGCCTGAATGTAGTCCCACAGTGAAAGGCTGGCATAACTTAATGTGGCGTGAAAATAGCTCTTCAATTTTCCTGTGCGCAGAAACTGCTCTGTTTCACCCTGCGGATGCCTCCGGCCTTCTCTGTTTCATTCTGTCTTTGCCAGTGTTCCCTCTCGACTCTCATTCCACCCGTGCCCATTAAGTCATGGCAAAACTCCAGCTATGTGGCTGATGGTGTGTTTGTGTGTGTGTGGGGGTGTGTGTGTGTGTGTGTGTGCGTGTATCTACCCATGCACATTCATGCAGCTGCATGTCAGCAAAGAGTCAGAGAGGATTGGATTGAAGGAAGAGGTCAGAAAAAGTGAGATGTAAGGGGAAAAGGAGAAGACAGAGTGGTAGGGTGTGGGGGGCTGTAATTTATATGATGAAAGTTTTTGTGAGAAATTGTGATGTGAAGCAACCAGGTCTACTGCATGTTATAGATAGAACTTCACAAATCAGCCTTTTACTCTGAGCTCAAGAAATGTTTCAATGTCAAGAGGATCTAGTAGTCGAAAGACAAAATCATGTGTTTGGACTGTGGAAGGAAGGAGGAGTACATGGAGAAAATCCTGTCCATCACCAAAACAAACCAGAAGTGGCTTAGAGTAAATCCTTAATGCAGAAACACCTCCAGCTCATACAGCACAACTCACAGGTCCTGCATCTCTCTGACATACTTCTCTTCCACTCTAGACCTTCTTTCTCATGCAATGCCACAGCTGCTTTCTTGTGACTCTATCATGCACTTTCTCTAAATCTACAAAAAAAATAAAAAAAACACACACACAATGCAGTTCTCTTTTCTGTACTTCTCCATCAGTGTCCTTTAAGTAAAATTAGCATCTGCCTTAGTCTTTCTTGGCATGAAGCCACGCTGCTGCTCATAAACTTCTGATCTAAGCCTACAGCTTCCACCACTCTTTCTCACAGTTTCATTCACGTATTAGCTTTATTCCTCTGTAGTTACTTCAGTTCTATATATCTCTGCTGTTATTAAAAATCAGCACCAGAACTCCTTTCCACCATCTACTACTCTCCTACAACCTACCCTAGACACTTCCATGCCTCCATTAGGACCATCTGCCTTTCCCATCTCCATCCTCTCCCAAAGCTGGCCTCACATCTCTCGTATTAATCTTAGCTGCTTCCTGACCCACGGCAGTCATCTCTTATATTATTTTCACCCGTTAGTACATTTCCATCCCTGTCCTCAATCTGCCTAACCTGCACATCCTTTTCATCTCTGCCTCACTGACCAGTACAAGTCATTCTCTCCCTCTGTACTATCTACCTAGCATATACAGGTCACCTTTGGCTAGCCTTTGCTACCTCTGCCTTCACAACATACCGTGTCTTCCTTTGCTCCTGTCTAGTCTTCTCAGTCCTCTCAGTGCCCCACTTGTTCTCAGCTAACGTTTTTCTCTGTGTGTGATCCTGAACACCTTTGTTCCACCACCAAGTCTCATTATCCACTTTACTCCTTCCAGATGACACACCAAGTACCCTCCTACCTATCTTCCTAATCACATTGGCTGTAGCTGCCCAGTCATCTGGAAGCACCTCCTGACCACCCAGTCTCAACTCCTCCATGCAAACCCCTCACTTTTTTAATTACTAGTTGGATGGGTGAACAGATGGATGGAAGAATTGATAGATTATTTTTTTCAGTGTTTAAATTAAATTTAAGGTTTCAAAAATGAAATAAATTCTTGGCACTAAGTCACCTATTTACAAAGATTGCTTTTTACTACTGCAGCTACTTTGCTCTATTAGATGCAGTATTTTGTCATCTTTTAATCTTGACAGATTTTTTTTAAATAATATTCTATAAAAATACTTTCTTGATTGCTTTGGCTTTTCATTTTAGTGCCAAGTTGCTGAGAGAAATATTTAGTTGAAAGGTCTGGTATTTTTCATCCTCCCTGAAAGTCTGAAGGCAATCCAGAGATTGTCAGAATTTACCTACCCTGAGTAATTTGAGCAATTTGGCTCCCA